AGTAGTGTCAATTGTATCGTATGTTGGCTGTGTTCCTGGTTTTCGTTTTTCTTTACGTCAATTGTATCGTATGTTGGCTGTGTTCCTGGTTTTCGTTTTTTTTTTACTTCCAGAGTAGTGTCAATTGTATCGTATGTTAGCTGTGTTCCTGGTTTTCTGTTTTTTACTTCAAGAGTAGTGTCATTGTATCGTATGTTGCTGTGTTCCTGGTTTCGTTTTCTTTACGTCAATTGTATCGTATGTTGGCTGTGTTCTTGGTTTCTGTTTTTTACTTCAAGAGTAGTGTCAATTGTATCGTATGTTAGCTGTGTTCCTGGTTTTCGGGGTTTTACTTCAAGAGTAGTGTCAATTGTATCGTATGTTAGCTGTATTCCTGGTTTTCGGTTTTTTACTTCAACAGTAGTGTCAATTATATCCATGGTTTTGGCTTTATATTGAAGATCATGTTAAGTATGTTCGTGTTTTTTGCTGTTCTTTTTTTAATAGGTTACCGAATATTTTAATGTTGCTTTTTGTTTCATTCACACACAAGTAGGCCCGGCATGGCCAGGTGGTTAGGGCGCTTGACTCGCAATCTGAGAGTCGCTGGTTCGAATCCCCGTCCAACCAAACATGCTCGTCCCTTCAGCCGTGAGGGCCTTATAATGTGACAGTCAATCCCACTATTCGTTGGTAAAAGAGTAGCCCAAGATTTGGCGGTGGGTGGTGATGACTAAGCTGCCTTCCCTCTAGTCTTTCACTGCTAAATTAGGGACAGCTAGCGCAGATAGCCCTCGTGTAGCTTTTCGCGAAATTCAAAAACGAACAAACCAATCACAAGTAAAGTCACTCCAGAAGGTGGATTATAAGACTCGAGTTTAACTCGTCAGAGAGCTGGAACGCCACGTGATAAACTCGACCTAAAGAGCTTAATTCTTCACGAGAACTATTTAAAACAGCCACACCTTAGTCTATTAACTGTAGTTAAATAATGGCAAACTTGATAATTATAGGAAATGCAACATTTTGTAATACTTAGAAACTTATTTATTATCGGCTATAATATATGACGTCACAATGTTTCACCAGCTTAACCTCGTTTAATCCTCTAACTATTAACTATAACGAGTGAACACGAAAAGCTAGCGGATTGATACACCGATATCTGATTGGTTGAGCTTAACAAGACCAGCAAAACGATGATGAAATGGTGAATCAGTTAATGCTGTTTTAATCGTGAGATCAACTGGAAATCAAACACATTAATATACGAAACTAAAAATGATATCAAAAGAAAAATTGTGGAAAGTCCTTAATCTAAAGATTACCGACCTTCAAATATCACTGAAGGTCAGTTTTAGCTGAGGGAGAGGTCTATTAAGAACCTGGCCCTCCCAGGTCGTCGAAGACCTAAATTCCGATGATTGATCCAGAGAGCTGAATTTTCTTTGACGTACGTGATATTTTTCACTTTTTTACTAGGATATTTTGTTCATACTAAAAATGACTAAACCATACTAGGACCCTATTAATGCCCGTACTAATAAGACCCTTGTAATACTACTCGTTTCTCAAGATGTACTTGTTCGTTAGGATAAAACTTTTTTTCTTTATACCGCCAGGCGGATGTTTCCTCCCTTCAAAGTGAGGATCTCGGGACTGGACAAGAAGGCCAAGTATATTATGTTAATGGACATCGTTGCCGCTGACGATTGTAGATACAAATTTCATAATCGACGCTGGGTAGTGGCCGGAAAAGCTGACCCCGAGATGCCCAAAAGGATGTACATCCATCCAGACTCTCCCAGTACTGGAGAACAGTGGATGCAGAAGGTGGTGTCCTTCCACAAGCTGAAGCTGACCAACAACATCTCGGACAAGCATGGATACGTAAGTAACCTTTTAAACCCAGATACGATAAATAGTTATCGAAGAAAAATAGTTGCTACCATGTAAACAATGCATACACCTCACTAATTCTACCATGTAAACAATGCATACACCTCACTAATTCTACCATGTAAACAATGCATAAACCTCACTAATTCTACCATGTAAACAATGCATACACCTCACTAATTCTACCATGTAAACAATGCATACACCTCACTAATTCTACCATGTAAACAATGCATAAACCTCACTAATTCTACCATGTAAACAATGCATAAACCTCACTAATTCTACCATGTAAACAATGCGTACTTACCATACACCTCACTAATTCTACCATGTAAACAATTCGTACTTACCATACACCTCACTAATTCTACCATGTAAACAATGCGTACTTACCATACTCCTCACTAATTCTACCATGTAAACAATGCGTAAGTACGCATTGTTTACATGGTAGAATTAGTGAGGTGTATGGTAAGTACGCATTGTTTACATGGTAGAATTAGTGAGGTGTACCATACACCTCACTAATTCTAATCGAACGTTTACATAGCCGGTTATATTGTTCTTAGACGACTCCCTAACGCGACTGTCACATTCTACATAGCGTAATGATTCTTCTTCTTACTCGGGTCTGTCTGCGTGACCAGTATTGTCATGCTAGGATTCTCAGTTGTCTACTTATCGGCGGGGGGCGTATGAGAATAATACGACAGCAAAACGTTTGAACGACTTTTTTTTTTCATATTCACCAACCTAGCTATCCAGCTGTTTGTCTGTCTATCTGTCTGTGTGTTTGATCGTTTGGACTCTTTTCCATCCATCTTACGATCGATGTATTTCAAGTCAGCCTCCCCCCCCCCCAGTATCACGGCGGCATGTCTGCGGACTTACAAAGCTAGAATCCTGGTTTTGATACCCGTGGTGGGCAGAGCACAGATAGCCCATTGTATAGTTTTGTGCTTAACTAGAAACAAACAATACTTTTAAAAAAATGTTTTTGTTTACTTTTGCGATACGTTTTTATTTTACGTGCGAAACACATATTCACCGAGTGTGTGTGTGTGTATATGTACTCGCTAGATAAACAAGTGTTTTAATTAAACTGTATCACATGTACATAAAGGATTTGATACTCAGCTCTGCCGTACTTGGTTGTTCTAAAGTCAAATACGTACACCTGTACATGATAACGCGTGATCATAGTCTGTAGTGGAGATGTAGCTACAAGTATGTAAAATACAGAGTGGGCAAAAGTGACGATAGGGTTGTTTGTTTGATTTATAACAATTTAATTTCTAACGTTTTATTTTGAATCCAAGAGTAATCAAATCAGATTCACCTGTCTCGGTTCTCACTCCACCATGTATGATATATATATATATAATTTTTTTCCTACTAACATTTAACCAGTACACACTTTTCCAAAAAATAAAAATAAAAAATCCCGTCACCGAACATGCTCGCGCTTTCAGCCGTGGGGGGGGGGGATGTTGTAATGTCACGTTTAATCCCACTATTCCTTGATAAAAAAAGGTAGCCCAAGAGTTGGCGGTGGGTGGTGTTGACTAGCTGCCTTCCTTCTAGACTATATCACTGCTAAATTAGGGACGGCTAGCGCAGATAGCCCTCGTGTAGCTTTTGCGCGAAATTCAAAACAAAACAAAAAACAACGAAATATATATATATATTTATATTTCCAAAGAGAATTTATAACAGTTATTTATATATATGTCTTTGTCGATATAACTGAGCAGGAATTTGAACTTGTGTTTTCTTTCTAGGCCCAATCCGAAACACAATCAGATTACCATCGCTTAAAATGTCTTTAAAATTGAAAGTAAAATTAATTTAAGAAATCAAAACGTCCCCTGGTGGGACAGCGGTAAGTTTATAGATTTACAGCGCTAAAATCCGGGATTGATTCCCCACGGTGGACACAAAACGTCCCCTGGTGGAACAGCAGTAAGTCTACAGACTTACTACGATAAAATCCGGGGTTCGATTCCCCGCGGTGGAGACAGCAGATAGTCCAATGTGGCTTTGCTGTAGAAAAAAAACAAACAAAAAACTAAAATAATATTGAATTTCAAGACGCTTCCATACATTGATAGTGTTTTATAAACAGTTAGCAACAGGTTGGAGTTTATCGTTTTCTCTCCTTCTAGATCAGCGTAGTGGGAATTTTGTAACTCTGTACTACGCTAAAGCGTACTGGGGATTTATTTATGAAACAGTGTTTACTTAACGCTGTCAGAAACGTGAATTTTATGTTCGAGTCAACATACTGCGTGCATCCAATTACGCGAACTGAACTGTTAACATGAGACTCAACGGGACCTCTGTGATCAAAGTAAAGAAACATAATGATAACAAGTTAGGCTTGATTTATTTACTATGCTACCACGCTATTGGTCTAAAAACGTGTTCAACTGCTCAAGCTGACCAATGGCATGGACCCGCTTACACCTGCAGTTCATGCCTTTAAGGGTTTGTTAAGTTTTTAAGCTTGTATCTCATTTGACAGTTTGAATAGGCGAGAAATATCTTCGTTTTCGTTTATGTGAACAGCAGAAATCTGAGTTTTTATTCGTTGTTTTCCATAACAGTCATTTTGAGTGGGTAACTTATCATGCTACATTTGATGCTCTATCAAATTGCATTTAATTTTTTTAATGAAAGCGTTGTGTTATATAATTCAAGCAGCCAAACGGCTGAGTTCGTAAGTTTGTACCGTTTCTATGGCAATGTGTCTAGAAGGGTTTTCGGTGTATTGTTCTTATCATAATAATCACAAACAACAAGGAGCTTTCCGTATTTCTCGGGAGTGAATATTTTAGTATTTATTCACTCGTGGCAATTTATCAACAAACCATATGCGAAGTCAGTGTGAAGTGTGGACCTAGAAAGGGTACTAACAACAGAGTATATGTGAAATGTGCACTTAGAAACGTTACTATCAACAGGCTATGTGTGAAATGTGCACTTAGAAACGTTATTATCAACAGGCTATGTGTAAATTGTGCACTTAGAAACGTTAGCTATCAACATACCATATGTGAAGTGTGGACCTAGAAACGTTACTATCAACAGACCATATGTGAAGTCAGTGTAAAGTGTGCACTTGGAAATGTTACTATCAACAGGCCATGTTTGAGGTGTGGACCTAGAAACGTTACTATCAACAGACCATGTGTGAAGTCAGTGTAAAGTGTGCACTTGGAAACGTTAGCTGTCAACATACCATATATATGAAGTGTGGACCTAGAAACGTTACCATCAACAGACTATGTGTGAAGTGTGCACTTAGAAACGTCACTATCAACAGACCATCTGTGAGGCCAGTGTAAAGTGTGCACTTAGAAACGTTAGCTATCAACACACCATATATATGAAGTGTGGACCTAGAAACGTTACCATCAACAGACTATGTGTGAAGTCAGTGTAGACTTAGAAACGGTACTCATTTTTGGTGATGTCCAGTCCTCAATAATTTCATTGGTTGTTAAATTTTATGCGAAGCTATTCGAGGGCAATCTGCGCTAGCTGTCCCTAATTATGAAGTGAAAGGTTAGAGACAAGGCAACTAGTCAACACCGACTACCGCCAACTCTTGGGCTACTCTTTAACAAAGAATGGTAGGATTGACCGTCGTATGAGACCCCCCCACACACACGGCTGAAAAGACGAGCATGTTTGGTGGGACAGGGATTCGATCCCGCGACCGGTAGTTTGCTAGTCGAGTGTCCTAAACCACCAGGTCATGCGAGGTCAGTTTCTAAGAGACGGGAAATCTTAGACCCCACTAGGTAATAAATACTACGTGACAAATGGTAGAATGTGATACTAAAATAAACAATGATGGTAAATAACGTAAAATAAATAATCAAGTTATTTTTTTTTTTTTTTACTGAGCTACACATGACTGTGTACAAGCTGTCAGGGTTGCAAAAGAATTGAGGAAGATCACGTGCTCAACATTGGAAAAGAAATAATGTCCCACAATTCTAAAAACGAAATGAATGGGCACGAAATATAGATTATATTACCAGTAAATTTATCGATTATTACATTCCATTATACTGTATAATCACATGTTTTCCAAATAGTCCCACTAATATCCAATATACACTTAAAACAACAGTCACCACAGATTTCTGGGATGTATAGATAATTAGTTGAAAATAAAAATGGTCTTCACCTGCGTTTATCAACTCTTTGTCTTTGAAAGGTGTTAAATGCTTTAAAGTAATCGGGTTTGGGTTTACATTATTAAATGTGTGAGGTTAACCAGCTTTTAGGTTTTCGTTACTAAATGTGGCAGGTTAATCGGGTTTTGGGTTTTCGTTGCTAAATATGTCAGGTTAACCAGGTTTTGGGTTTTCATTACTAAATGTGGCAGGTTAATCGGGTTTTGGGTTTTCGTTGCTAAATATGTCAGGTTAACCAGGTTTTTGGTTTTCATTACTAAATATGTCAGGTTAACCAGGTTTCGGGTTTTCATTATTAAACATGTCAGGTTAACCAGGTTTCATGTTTTCATTGCTAAGTATGTCAGGTTAACCGGGGTTTGGGTTTTAATACTAAATATGTTAGGTTAACCAGGTTTTGAGTTTTCATTACTAAATATGTCAGGTTAACCAGGTTTTGAGTTTTCATTACTAAATATGTCAGGTTAACCAGGTTTTGGGTTTTCATTACTAAATATGTCAGGTTAACCAGGTTTCAGGTTTTCATTACTAAATATGTCAGGTTAACCGAGTTTCGAGTTTTTATTACTAAAGGTATCATTTTAACCGGGTTTCAAATGTTTATCGTTAAATGTATAAGTTTAACCGGGTTTCGGGTTTTTAGTACTAAAAGCGTCAGATTGACTGAGTTTTCATCGCTTAGAACGAGACTAACCCTCAGCTGCAAAAGGGAATTAACGTCATCGTCATCGTACACCTGGTGAACGTTCCTTCTTGTGACAGTAAACTGGTTGCTATTACCTGTAGAAATACGTGTACGTACATGTGAAAATTTTAATTAAAATCATAGGAACACGTACACGTTATTCCATAAGTATGCGGGCAAAAAAAAACAAAAAAAACACAAACTCTAAACACGTGTACAGTAAAACTGTCGTTGAAGCTGCAGAAATAATATGGTGTGGAGATTATACCGCGTTTTAATTTAGAACCACGTGTTGAAACTTTCCAGGTGTGTTTCTGCATTTCGAAGCGACATTCTGTTGTTGGCTGAAGAAAGCTGGCACTCACTAATTTTAGAGTCACTCAAGATACGAAGCATGCGTGGTCTCTCAGTTTTCATCCATGAACTCCCCCCCTCTTCCTCCCAACAACTATATCTAAAGTTAACCAAACTTGGTTCATATTTTGTGCCCCTCCCCCCAGTGGCACAGTGGTATGTCTGCGGACTTACAACGCTAAAAATCGGGTTTCGATACTCGTGGTGGGCAGAGTACAGCTAGCCCATCGTGTAGCTTTGTGCATAATTACAATAAAACAAAAAATATTTTGTACTACAAATGCCATTTTGATGTACTACAGGGTGTCCGAAAAGTTTGCGGTGATTCGCAGCTTTCCTTAATTTCACATACGTGACTGATTACGGCGCTGTCAAGGCACGAGAAGGTCGAGTTAATCCTGCTGTTAAACCAAACTTGTTTCGAATCACGAGGACAGTATATGGAACACATTCTGTGAAATTCGTTGAAGTACCTATGGTCCCAGACGTTTCGGACACCCTGCTCGACTAGAACTAATTTCACTGTAGCCCCTTACCCCCCCCCCCCCCCACCACACACACACTAAGATTTCTCGATAAGTTTAGTTGTAGGGTGTAGCACAGCACAAATTCTGGTATTTGGAGAAGCACAAAATCAAAAATAAATGTATATGGAGTGTTCACTGAACATTCACTTGAAAAATTGGTGCTTTCTGATTATCGTTTACAATTTCTGCTGAAGCGACATCTGGTGGCTCGCTTAGGCAGCTCCAAAACTCATAATCGATCCACCGGAAACAGTGCTGTTTCAGATGGGACCGGTTCCACGCCAGGGTAGTGAGTATCCAGTATCCAGTGGTTCGTTTTGATGAACGTAATGAACTTGCCGGCTTTTCGCAGTAATATAGTTCAGCGTAGAAAATATCGCATAAAACAGTAATCTTACGCGAATTGGTTTTGGGTTTCAAAAACTGACTGATATAAGCGCCATACAACGGTAACATTAATCTTTATATGTCTGTGTAAAACAACTTACCCCCCTCCCCAAAAAACAAAACAAAACAAAAAACTGCACGTTCACAATTTTTTACTCAATATTTGACATTTCCCTCTTTAGTTGTTTCTTAAAATGCAAGTACTCTTTTTCTCAACTGCTCGATATATATATTCGGTCCGCGTTCACTAAAGCTTGCATTATTAAAAAAAGTAGGTCCGACCTTTTTACTTTGGAATTGTCTGTTAATACACTTTTATCACCTTCATAAAATGTACATAAATAAAGTGAAAATCTGAAAGAAAACAAAAACAGGTTATTACCTATTTCTCTTATCGTCCCCAAACGTCCCCAGTTATTACCTATTTCTCTTATCGTCCCCAAACGTCTCCAGTTATTACCTATTTCTCTTATCGTCCCCAAACGTCTCCAGTTATTACCTATTTCTTTTATCGTCCCCAAACGTCACCAGTTATTACCTATTTCTCTTATCGTGCCCAAACGTCTCCAGTTAACAGTCAAATGTTATTTTTTCAACGAAGAATACTTTATAAATTTGGTATTATTAAGGAGCCTCTTTGTTTTTGACTAATGCGCTCTTAGCAGTTAGTCTGCAGGCTTATGACGCTGAAAATCGGGTTTCGATGCCCGTGGTGAGAAGAGCACGGGTGGCCAATTGTATAACCTTTCGTTTAACAACAACCAAACTGGCTATATAGACTTTCGTTTAACAACAACCAAACTGGCTATATAGACTTTCGTTTAACAACAACCAAACTGGCT